CCACCTGACAGATTTTAATACAACTTGGTGTGTAGATGCTCTTTAATAATGTGTCTACTAGATTAGTTATTTGGCTGCGATGCTTATTAATTAACTACCTCATTTGCATATTATTCAGCCAATTTTCAGTTTTTTTCCCAAGAATACCCATAAGAAACAGATTTTCTGGATAATTCACATGAGTTTTTAGTTGCAATCTGTGAATATTAATTATCTAATTTGCATAAAATAGCCTATTTTTGGCTGTTCCACATATGTCTGAAGTTCCACTCATTAGGTTTTGAATTATACTTGGTACTTAGGAGCTTTTCTAAGCTTAATTCTTTGCTTGTAACTCTATTGGAATGATGGAACTGTACTGTGTGTGACTAGATTTAGCATTGGCTGTCAATACAAAGCACAATCGACCAAGTTTGTATTGATAAACACTTTAATTGCCATCTGTGTTACTTTTGAGAGATTGGGTTTTTACAGATGATTAAATCAAGCTGTCAAGCAAAATCTATTTTTTTTTTTTTCTGTCAATAAGTCTGCATTATGTCCTAAGCTGTATCTAGTGTATCATTTCTATCTTGAACGTCTATCTAGACAATTCATTTAAACCACTTTTGAAATATGAGAAATCTGTAAAGTTGCATAGGAAAGTATACATGTACACGCATGTAATTTGCTCTGCTATTTCAGGGGACGGATACAGGAATTTTTTATGGGGGGGTGGGTCCAAACTTTAAAATCGCCAGACTAAGTTAATGATTTTTTTATATTATACAAAAACAAATTGAATAATTTTTTCAATGGAGGGGTCCGGACCCCAAGAATCCCCCCCCCCCTAGATCCGCCACTGTATCTATATATATATATATGTGCCTTCATTGATTATTCTCATAATAATTCTATCATGCACTTCTTTAGAGAGAGAAAATCACTCCACTATTAAACTCAACCTTGCAGCTATAACTTTGAAATAAATAATTTGTTGAGTCTGTGTTGGTAATGCGTTACTTTGCTTGCGAAAAAAAGCCTTACAAATTGAGGAACCCAACCCATTAATGCAAGCTGACAGAAAAAAAACATTTGCACCTGTCACTGACAATTAAACTCCTTTCAGTCGTATTCTAAAAACAATTGTGCGATGTTGCCATGGCAACACCATCTGCAATGCTGATTTACATCATTTGTTAGTGTCCCATTCTCTCGCAAAGTGCCAACTTACATGTTACATTTACCATGGAGTAAATTCTAAACAGCGATGTTTCCTGTGCCGAGAACCGGAGGAAGTACGCTTCAAATCAGGCAATGAATGCCCAATGGCGTGTGCTGAAATCAGGTCATTGATATTGTCCACTGTCATTTGACTTCACTCTGATTTCCCCAGAGAGCTCTATCTAACAGTGACAAGAGTTGATATGAAATTATACAGTTCGTACATATAAAACACGGTTACAAGTCATTCCTCATCTATATTCAGTGTTTGTTACTTTTTATACATACGATGCAGTGCATTTAATAAATGGATTAGACAGAAACAGTGCAAATAAATGGATCAGACAGAAACAGTGCAAATAAATTGGCCCAAATGTAAAAAGCTAAATTTCCTGCAAATGAAGGCAATTTCTATGATCATGCATACTCCCCTAGGGTTGCGAGTCAAAGCATGCATTTAAATTACAATTTAAGTAGAGTGCTGCCGGTTAGATAGTTTCTGTAATGGCACGATCTGTTCATATCTAATTAAGCTATTGTGCAGTGTTGTATGGTTAGGTGGCTGGTTGTCTTGTCTTGTACTTTGTTGCTGGACTCCTATGCACTGTTGTTTAGGTGCATGGCACCTCACTTTGTCTCGTATTGTGTTGTATGTCTCTGCATGCAGTGCCAATGAGGTGACAGGTTGTCTTGTCTTGTGTTTTGCTGGACTTCTGTGCAGGTTGATAAAGTTGCAGGTGGTCTTATCTTGTGTTGAGTTGAATTGCTGAACTTCATGTTCATATTAGGTCATGTGATATTCTAGAGATGTGTCGGTGTATTCCATATAAGGTCATGTGATATTCTAAAGATCTGCATGAGCCTCTTCCTGAAATTTCTAAACATTTTAAAAATTTTTTTTTTCTTTTTTGACTCCCGTGTGCGAAGCACACAATGGGAGTTTTTGCAGTTACCCTGTCTGTATGTGTATGTGTGTGTGTGTGTTGTCCGTACCACTGATATCTCAAGAACCGTATGTTGTTTTTTAATGAAACTTGGTGTATAGATGCTCTGGGCTAATGCGCAGATTTGATTAGATTTTGGTTGAAATCCATACATATTAATTACCTGATTTGCATGATAATTAGATAATTTTTAGCTGTTCCTTGACTGTTCCACTGATATCTAAAGAGCCATTCATTAGATTTTGATGAAACTTAGTACATAGATGCTCTGGACTAATACACAGATGTGATTAGTTTTGGGTAAAAATCATCAAAAATCAAGCATTTCTGGCATTCAGGAACCAAATCTTGGTGGTTTATAAATGGATCTTGTTCAAACTTGGGTAAATGCATTAGACATTATTGGTCCTTGATGTATGTCATTTTGTTTTTTCAGATCGGATTCAAAATGGCTAACTGGTCGCCATTTTGTTTTAATAAATGTGATTCTACAGCCATATCTGAGATGCTTTGACTGATTATATTCAAAGTTTATGTATTCATTATACATCACGTCATAGATATAGAGATGTATTCAAAATGGCAGACAAGTAGCCATTTTGTTTAAATTAATGCTGTTCCAGAGCAATATCTCTCAATATGGGCAAGTACACATTTGATGATCAGATACAAGATGACTGAATGTCAATCATTTTAATGTTAACAAATCACCATAATCTAAGCATCATCTTCTGGATCCATATCTCTGACATGTTTATGTTCTAACTACATGATTGTATATTATTATAAACAAAAATATAATATATCCTAAATTTGATAAGTATCAGGGATTGTACCATGTATGGTCAATCTGATTAAAATCTGATGTAGTGTACGA